AAGGTACTCGATTTGAGCCTTAAAGCTAAAAATATATAGCGTTATTTGAGCACTGAAACCTGGGTGGGGCTTCCACGCTGCTCCACTATTAGCCAGCCTTTATACATACATATAAAAAAATATCAGATATACCGCAAAGATAAAAGATACACAACGAAGTGATAAGAAGAAAAACACACACACACACATACGTAGATAAATATGTATGCGGTAAAATACGAGCTCGGGACCCACCTAAAATTTAAACAAACTGTAAACAAGTACATAAAATTTATAAATTCAAATACATGTGTAGGCAAACGAGCAAAAAAACAAAATCTAAGAAAATAACAAAAATCTCTGCTATTATTATGTACAACAAACTTTAGTGGCTAGTGGATGCTGTGAGCGCATTAATGTGCTTGTGACTGCTGCGTAGTGATACACTTTATGGCAAATGAAAATATTTTTGTGTAAGTATCTATTAGAATTTTCGAGGAAACGCACTCATCAGCCAGTTGTGCTCTCCTTACGACTCCACCAAATGCTGTATATGAGTGCTTGCTCTCGAAAGCCGACTAGTGTTCTTATCTTCGTGTTCTTCAAAGTGATTTCATGCTCTCGAAAGCAATTTTCCGTGTTGTCTCTCTCACACTCTTTCCACAATCGTTTCGTTTCCTTTGACTGTGCATTAAGCGCCAAATTGTGTATGCATACTTTAAGGCGCGCTTACATGCAAATAAAAGCTTACATCGTTTCAGTTAACTTATAGGCTTTTGTGGATTTTAAGTAGCTTTGACGTGGAAGCTTTTAAGTCGAAGAGTGAAACAACTATACGTATAAATTTCCCCTACAAACTGGGGAGCTTTTTTTAGTCATGCGCTTCGGCGAAGCTTTTCCCCCCACATTTCCCCAACCTACATGAGTATTTTGTATTACATTTTGTTTTATGCTTTCCAACGCTTTTGCTTTAATGCTAGTGTTCCACTTTATTTTATGTTGGGGCTTATACATTGTTTACTCGAGCATCCATTCAAGTATGTATGGCTTATTTCATTATAAATTGTTTGATTGTAACATAATTTGTTGTATTGATTCAATTTTTAATTATGTGATGTGTGTAGCGTTTAAAAATTCTAAAGTAATTGCTTTTATTTTATTAATATTTTTTAATTTTAGTGTATAATTTTTTCGTTCATATATTTTAATAACACGTATCTAAGCTGAAAAGTAATTTTAAATATTTTTATATTTGTTTTTGTAAATGATATATGACGGGCAAAGCAATAAAAAGTCGAAAACAGTTCCTCAGAATTTTACTATTTTCTATTATAAAACAACAGAATTAAAAAAAATATATTATTAAAAAATATTATTTTTTAACTTTTATTCTTCTGTTAAGATTTTAAGATTAAGGAATGAAGATTTTAAGTCAATAACTTTTTGGCGGTTGAAAGCTTATTGATATTTTTAACATTATTTGTACTGTAAAAATAATTGTTTTGCAGAAATTGAAATTATAAACAATATGATAATTATATCTCTTTTTTGGAATTTCTTAATTGCACATAAACCAAACATTTATCGCGTTTATTTAAATAAACAAAAACTAATTACTAAATTAAAAGGAATTATTTTCTTACTATTAAAAATTCTAAAACATTTTTAAAATGAAATAAAACTAAATAATATAAAATAATTAAAATAAAAGAAAATAAGTTAAAATCAGGCGGTCACAATAGCCGAGTGGTTAGCATTGTGTCCTGCGATTCGGAAGGCCTGAGTTCAAATCCTGGTGCAACCAACATCAAAAGGTTATGGAAAATTAATTTATATTAATAAATTAAGTTTAATTTTCTAACTGGCATAAAATAAAATAAAATAAAATAAAATAAAATAAAATAAAATAAAATAANAAAGTATTTTCTAATTTCTTTTAGTTTTTTTTTTTTTTGTTTTTTTTTTTTTTTGCTAAAACAATGTAAGCGCAGATTTGGCCATAAAAATGTAGTTTTTTCTTGTGTCCGTTGCAAGCATCTATGTGTTTTTGTTTTTTCTTTTTAAACGTCTGCTTGTTACTATTATCTGCAGTTGTAAACGTGGAAAAGTATTTCCATTGTTACTACTTAGCAACAAATTTCTATAATATTTTATGTACGCATTCTTTGTTTAGGTTAGTAATGCTAGTGATTATGAAGTTTAAGCAAAACATATTGTTTGGAAAGTTTCAGTGAATTTGCTTAACTCTTACTCGTGCACATATAGTATTATGCTTGATATATTGCCACATTTACAATACATAGAAAGAGGCATTAGAGGCATTAGCGAGTATCAAGTTAATCCTACTTTAGTCAAGCATCACTACATTTAAATAAATTTTTAGAACATATAAGCCAGAGCTACAGGTTATTTAAGTCATAGCAGCCAATGGTTCCAAGATTATTTCTTTAGATTATTATAAATTTAAGGGGCACACCTAGTGTAATGGCCTTTAAAAGGGGTGATTTTTGGGATTTCTTATTAAAAAAAAATACTCTATCAATTATTTCAAAATTTTAGGAATATATTTATACATGTTTCAAGAATACATAGTGAAATTTTTGAAGAAATAAGTAAATATTTTAGTTATTATATATATAGCCGATCTCCAACGGCACGAAAAAAAGATCCTTCAGTGCTGCAGTGATTCCGGTTTTCTCCATGGATGCAATCTAAAAAAAAAAATTCCTGATATGATAATATTGTGTGTAGAATGACCTACAATAAAAAAAATTTTGGTCGTTTTTGGCCTGCCAAAATTCGATTTTTTGATCAGATCAAGAATCGATATGTCATTGTATGGAAAACTATATAAAGAACATGGAAAAAAAAATGCGATAGTGATCGGATCATTTGTTTTTGAGTAATCATTGCAGCAAATTCGGTAAATTCTTTTTCGAGAAAAATGCGTTTAAAGATAAATTGATCGTTTTCAATCGTAGCTAATGAGACTCTCTAGCTGCCGAGAGGCTGCTCTTTAAATTGCTATAATTCAAAAGGTGTAATCTACCGAAATATGAAAAAAGATCGATTTTTTTGAAATTTCACACTAGGTGTTTGGAGCATATGCTTTCGATTTCTTTAAATTATTCGGGTTTTCTAATGATTTTGTGGATGATTTCATAATCAATATCCGGGTAAGGGAAAGTGTGAGCAGCTAAATCAAGCCGTTCCTAATGGGATAGTCAATGGGGAAGGCCGAAGGCCATTTTTGATGGTTTTTTCGTGCCTGCTTGGAAAGATTATGGTATACGGTGCATTACTAGCTTCTGAAATGATATTTATTTGAGTCAGCTGTGGCGGTCGCTTGACCCTATATCATTTTTAAAACATTATACCAACCCCTTATCTTTATAATTAGTCTAAATTCTTGAAAACCATCTGACTGAAAAAAAATCCATTGAGGTCTGCACTAAGAGACGGCTTACCGCAAACACTGCAGACTTTCCAATAAAATATCAAAAATAAGAACTTTTGCAGATGACAAAGTCGTTTTGGACCATTTACTTTTCACTGAAGAAAGCCAATTTAAATGTATTGTATTTAATTGTTGGGTATGATCTTTGGAACACAGATGTTGAGAAAATACAGAGCTTGTAGTGCAAAATTATAAAGATTATAAGGAGGCACCGTGACATGCTCGTAAAGTAAACATACCTAAAGATCTTGATATCCTCCTGGTTAAGCCTGGAGTTGAAAGGAGCAGAACGAAATACCTCGCACAACTCAGAATCTAACCAAATTGTTAGCTAACGTCTTGTGCCATTCATCCATATTTCTTATACCGTAACAAAGTTCTAACTCGTGAGCGAACGATAAATTTCAAATATAATATAATTAAGAGAAAAAAGTCTAATTGTGCTTTTTTAACATTTTAAAATAGTTCAAAATAATACTTGTATATTTTAAATAGTTAATTAGTTTGTAGAAATTTCAAAATTATAGTTACAAAAAGAGAAATTATGGTATAGCTGGGTAAACAGTGTATTTGAGCTTGAAGATCAAAGTATAAACAGATTTTCTGAAATGGTAAAGACATATATATGTACATACATATAAACATTTAGGTGAGTAATTGTGTATATTTTTTTTATGATAGTGCAGCGTTTTTTATTTTCTCTGTTTGCATTGTACGTTCTCTGCTAATAATATGTGAGTTATTCATATATTCAAATGCTCTCTCCAGCCATATTCACCACTTTAGCACAATTCGTTGCATATTTTATGGCTTAATTCGCCGCGTTGGTTATAACGTATATCGTCAAGTTTGGCCAAACTTAAACACACTTGTATTCATATCGTAAATATCTGTAAATACTTACGTTTATCGTATGCTTGATAGCGATATTTTATCGTGTGCTTCTTCGTCTTGTGAGCGCAGCATTCGCTGTTTTGTTATTTAGTACCGGCTTTTGCTTCACCTATGTATGGATGCACATGTTAGGTTGTGTATTCATATCATTAACTGAATTTCACGCTCTCTGGTTTATAGAGTCCAATGAAGAGAGCAAGTAAAACGTAATAAAGTTTGTATATATATATATATACATGTTGGGTTGCCATTAATATGAGAAAATAGTGGATTTTGGTATGTGGTATAATTGTTGCTTGTTATAGAAAATTTAAAATCCATTTTTGTATATTTTGATAATTTTCTTGATGTCACACCTCGGCAGGTAATGTCAACCCTTCCGAGTTTACTTCTGACACGAAATAAAAGCTCCTCATAAAAAAACTTCCAGCCGTTCTGAGACGGCTTAGCATAAACTATAGGTCCCTGCATTTGTTGAAAAAGCATCGAGACGCAAAACTACAAATTGGAGAATCTGACCCAAAATTCGCTTCAGTGGATACGAATCGCCAATTACATATATCTATATATGTATATAAATCAAAAGTGAATGTGTGAGTATTAGATGAACATTTTTTATTTAAATCTCAGCAGAAACCATACGGTAACTCTACTATTAGCACACCAATCCAGCGAATAAATTTTCTGCAATAAAGCAAACTCTTAGGGCTTGTGGGGGATTTCCTTCCGCTATACGTAGGCAGTGTTGCGTTACGTACGACGCGTTGCTTATATTGCGGCGGCGCTCTAACCACTAACAACGACAACGGCAGCAGAGACAGCAGCGTCGATAGTAGCGCCAGTCCAGTGCGATTACGGTGGGTTGACTATTTGTTTGTTGGCTGAAGTTGTTTTCAGTCTGAAACGAATTGTTGTGAACGATGGATGGAAGAGCAGTTGGCTGCGTTTAGAATATTTCAACGGTTTTGGAGGAATTAAATACTTTTTTGAGTATGTAAATTGTCGATGGGGCAAAATAGAGAATAGTCAGTGTCAGAATTGCAAAGTCAATGTGTGTTGAAGTACAGTGACAGCCAGACAGACGGTAGTGGAAGTCGGCTTACGTGCATACAGCCATAAAATCAGATAGGCACTGAAGCTTGAAGAAAGTGGAAGTTACAGAGCGAAAAAAGTTTGGGAAAATAACCAAAAAGTGCGATGATGACAGATAGCAAAAGCCGGTGATTTGAGTATACAATAATAATTGGAAGAATAAAATAATTCAAAAAAAGCATTGTATTTTGTACTATTGAGTTTATATTTATGTAAAACAATAATGAAAAGAAATTATAAATAAATTAAATGAAAAAATATACACATTTAGATAAAAAAAAAATTAAACAAATATCTATACGGACAAAACTTATTGCAGCATAACTGATTAACTGACAGAGATTAACATAACTAAATTTTTTATACTGAAAATTAGTACAAGCAATTGTTGCTTTAAGCTAATGCGCCTAAAACTCCATCAAGTCTGGCAGTAAACCATAAACAACACACACTTACACGCGGATATGATAAGGTAGAAGAGAACAAGCAGAAAGGACATACGAATTTTTTTGCACATAAACACGAAAGCGAGTGTAAAGACAAAGGTTAAATAGTGGCAACGGCGATGCTTAACCTGTCACCAGAGTATTGCGTGCGCTCATGTATGTGTGTATATCCTTGAAAAGAAAATAAAATAAAAATCAAAAAAACCAATCAATCAAATTCCAGACTCAGTGCAGTGCAGCGGTATTTACCGTTGTTTATCTCTAATTAATAATAAATTTTTCGTATAAAAAAGTGCCATAAACGATTGTTGAAAAACGAAAGTTTATGAAAGTTCTAAATCTGAAAAAAAAGTGAATGAAAATTATAGCAAAACAAGCGAGCCACATTCGAAGAACCGCCAACTGCTTGAAAATAACAAAAACAACCCCAAAAAATACCAGAAATAAGCAAAATCAACAAAACAACAACACCAAAGTGAACGACTAACGAAGGATCAAAGCAAAAAGGATAATTTATATATTTCGTACAGCAGTGGGTGGCATGCTACACAAAAGCAAAAAGGGAGAAGAAAAACCAAAATTTCAACACAAAGCAAAAACAAACGAATGAGACGCGCAACGTGTCTGATAAAATCAAAAGTAGAAAAAAATCTTCATATCTCATAGACACCAGTCCCGTGTATTTAGCTTTCTTCTGCCATAACTGCTGTATGGCATGATAAGCAAGGATTATAATAAAAGCAAAAACAAAACAAGCAAATAAAAGAAATACCGTTAACTTGTACTCCCTGCTGACAGTGGAATTGTGAAGTGCATTATTTGTTGGTGTTTATGTGTGTTTGTGTTATCGCTGCGAAAGGTGGTGGCTCAAATCAATGAATTCCTTTTGCATCTAGTATATCTCTTTGGCGATGATCGGCACACACTGTTTGAGGCGTATATAAAATAATACAAAGACTGCAATTTTTGTATTTTCTCTTTCACAACCAATCAATGTGAGTAATATTTTTTATAAAATATATGTATATATAAGTACAGTTATATACAATACTATTATTTAATGACAAATTCAATTGAAATACGCCAAAACAATATTTTTTCAAATAATTTATAATTATTTGAGGAATGTTAGGGCATTTTTCAAATCTTTATAAGGGTTTTATGTAAAATATGAAAAATTAATTTTTCTTTAAAAAAAATTATATCTAAGTATGACGCTGATCAAGACGACTTTTGGGTTTGTGTCGCATATGTTAAATTTTAGTTCCACCTACACTGAAAACAAGTAAAAAGTTTTTTTTTATCTTAATGAAGAAGATCTTCCATTTCTTCCCTTATCGATGTGCTAAACCGGACAAAAGCCAACATAATGAACTAATCACGAAAATTTGAGTGTGTTTTCAATGTACAGAGTCAGAATTTGTATCAAAATGCGATCTGATATACAAAAAAGGTTTTTTTTTAGTTGACCAGTGTAAAGTAAGGCAGAAGTAGTACCATTAAACTACTGATAATTATGGCATATAATTAAAATATTTCTATTTCTGATTACAATATTTTTCAACATCGCTACATTAAAAATGTTCAGATCAAATTCAAGCTAAAAGAAGTATTATACGTCTGCTTAAATGTTTTTATATTGATCTAAGGAACCTTAAAGTAGAAATATAGAAAATCTTAAATCTTGTGACTGGCGATAAAAAATGGGTCACTTACCACAGCTTTGAGTGCAAACAGCTGTGGTCAAAGCTCGTGGAAGCGCCCCAGACGGTGGCCAAGACTGGATTGACGGCCAGGAAGGTTTTGCTGTGTGTTGGATGGGATTGGCAAGGAAGGCAAACGCCCAATTCGGCACTCTACTGCTAACAAATGGGCCGCTTGAAAGCAGCAGTCATCTAGAAGAAGCCATCTTTGATCAAGAGAGGCCGAATTGTGTTCCATCAAGACAACGCCAGGCTACACACGTCTTTGATGACGCGCCAGAAACTCCAGGAGCTCGGATGGGGGGTCCTAATGCACCCACCTCCTGTGAAAATTTGGCTGTCCGAGTTTTTTTTACCAATAAGGATGCATCCACGAAGGGGGTATAATGGAGTTGGCATCTCTTTGGCAATAAGTTTACGGAAAAAACGGCGCATATTTTGAAAAATCAATAAAAAACCGAACGAATCTTTTACTTTACCTAATATGTATATTAAGACCAGAAAGTTTCCAGAAATTGTCATTTAAACGCGGGCAGAATACATTTCAGCACTTTTTTTTTGTTATGTTGGTAGTTCTGTCCTTAGTTACTATGCCAAAACTAAGTATGATCTGCCCTCAAGTTTGCTTGCAGCAGCAATTGAAATCAGTCGACCTCAGTTCCTTCTTCGAATTTTCTTTTACGGCCTCAATCGTTTCGAAACGGGTTTAGTTTTCGAAACAAAAGAAGGACGAATGGGGCCAAATCCGGAGAATACGGTGGTGGATCGATGGTATTGAATAAGTCTTTGGTCTTAAAATTGTTCACAACACAGCTAAGGGCGATGGCGCATTGTCGTCATGATAATTTCCGGAAATTGTTGGGCCACAATTCCGTCCGTTTACGTTGGATATTTTCGAATAACGCGAATATCGAAAAAATTCAATTTCCGGAAACTTTATGGTTCTATAATAGTTTTTTATGGTGATAAATACACTCGGAGGGGTCGACATTCCCTGTTGGTCAGACCAGGATTCGAAATGTTCTGACAAAGCCAAGATGAACGTATTGCCAGATATAGCAAAATGTATCCCTTAGAATCAGCTTATTAATTTATAAATGGCTTAAAACTTGATACAGATTTACTGATGTGCCGTATTAAACCTCTTTAATAGGTCGTTATATAAGGTGCCCGACAATGCTTCTTAAAAGTCTCCAGCTGAGATATGTCTTAGACTTAGACTTAGACTTTGACTTAGACTTTGACTTAGACTTAGACTTCTTGTAGTCATGCATATCTGTACAAATGGGTTTAAATACAGGGTAGGCACAGGAGTAGGACTCTTCTGCAACCGTCTCATTGATCCTTATAGTAGCTTCCAACTCAGTGACTACAACTTTGCCTCCTTAGCGGAGATTGTTGACATTACTGAAGGTGTTAGTCTTACAAAGGTCGGCACACATGAATGGAGCAAACAAAAATAGTTCATAAAATCGGGCAAACAGTTTGCAAACGGGTAGTAGGGACACGCGTAGGAGCACAATGTGTCTACTCAATGGCCTAAGAGCAGACTTGATTGGTCGTAATCTAATTAATGACACTTGTAACTGGGAGTTTCTAGCCAAATTCTTACCAAAAAAGTACGCGGTAAACCTTGCCTCTTAAACAGAAAAGCTGGAGTACTGCAAATCAGCTGCTTTAAGTTAATTCAAAATAAAAAGTCACCGTCCTACATTTTAAGTTATTTAGTAAATATTTCTTGGTGGATAGAAGCTATAAAATCAATATTGTGGAATTGAACAAATTAGTTTGGTTTACGATTTGCTCTTTATGTGGAGATTGATATTTTTAGACGATCTTAAGGAGGTGTTGCTGTTAAGCTAGAAAGATCCCTATAAACATTTCTCTATGATCCTTATAAAGAAATATTCTGCATCTAAAACGACGGAGGTTAATAAATCTCCATTTGCGTTTTTTTTTTAAATATAAAAATATATAAAGTTTCTATCGCATCACCCCACAAAATTGTTCACATCACCGTGAATTAGACAGGCGTAAATAGTTTTGCGCCATCTGCCTACATGACGGTATTGAAAGCAAAAAGTCCTCCATAACTGACCCGAAGAATATGAGAAAAAGTAGAAAGCTCAAACTAACTAATCATTTCATGACTCTCGCTGGTCTTTTGAAATTCTTTTGGAATAGAGTTTCCTGAATTAAAGGTAATCTTATGTACATACGTACATATATGTTTGCACATGTATGCTTTCCTATAAGAAGAGCTTAAAACTAGGCTCCTTAAATATTAACTCCGAGTTTATACTCAGTTTTTCCCTTTCAAGAATCCAATCAAATTAACTTTAATTCCCTTTAGCAGTGACTCGTCGCAGTAAATAACTAGTAAAAGGTGGAGAGAAAATATTTTAATTTCTATTTTTCTTTTTAACTGACATTTGCCTCGGGGACTTTCAATTACTCAAATGAGTAGGCAAATAAATAATCTTTCACTCACTTTTTGCTAGACAGATTTTAATCACATTTCACTTCTCGTAAAAAATAAAAGCTCAGCTCCCCAGTGCAAATGTCGACAATTATGAGAATTTATTGAATTAAATTAAGTTGCAATCATAGAGAAAATAAAAAATATGGGTATACAAATAAACATAAATATCCATAAATGCATACATACTTACATACTATACAGTTGCACATATTTCCAAGAAGCTCAGGTGAAAGTGGTGCTGAAGTCAGCAATTAACACTGGCACAGCGGAGGGCATCTAAACAGAAATGGGGTCTCATTTGCATATATGTATGTGTATGCCACTGTGCATTTAAACGCTCCTTTTAACAATTTAATATGTGCAATCTATCCATCTACTGATTGCATAACGATATTTCATTTTCATCACAACAACAACAACAACAACAGCAGTAGCAGTATTTTCAGCCGCCGCCACACCACACCCATCATTGAAAAAATATGTATGTGTGTATGTAAACAAAATGGTACAAAACTCCACAGTTATGCCGATGAAAAATATATAGCGCAAACCTATCGAGCAAAAAAAAAAAAAAAAAAAATAAACCAAAAAGGAAATTAAAAAATGCATATATTTACTTAAAAGTGTGGAGAGAAATATAAACTATCTGCTGAAAGCTTTCACTAGCTAGAATTATGCTTTCACGAGTACGATCAGCGGTTGGTTGACTGCTGCTACTTGGCTTTTGGCACACATTATGAAAACTCATTCAAATGGATGTCACTTACAGTTGCGCCGCCATGTGGCACCATAGGCCACAGTAGTCAACTGAATATTACACGTACATACATATGTATGTATATATTTTTGGTAGCAAGAAAATTCAGCAGAAATAAACGAAAAACAAAAAAATTTACAAAAAATAAAAAGAAGGAAGTAGAAATGAATTCAATTGAAGTTCTGTGGCATGTTTGTGACATTTTGGGCTCCCTGAGGAAATGTTGCTTAGCATGCGCCAAATGGTTGTAGATAACTAAAGAGTAAAGAAATTGCATTGAGCGGCAAGTGAGTAGCGAGTAGGAGGTTAGGTAGTGTACTCAGCCAATGCTGGGAAGCACTGTAGAGTTAGTCGAGCCTAAAAGCAGATCCAATTATCAAATTGTAGGAAGAAATTGTATGTAGGTGGGCAGGGGTTGAAACACTCAGAGCGGTGGTATGCATTTTGGGTCTAAATTTGAAACTTGAGTAACTTTAAACTTTTTCATAAAATATTTTATTTTTTTATGCTCATTTCCTTTATTTAATATTTGAATACGTTTTTCAAAGATAAATTATTGAATTTTCAAATAACGGTTATATCAAAATATAAACTTTAGAAATATCTTTTAAAATAAAATATTTGACTGAATTTAGGTACGCTTCTGGCGCTAAGATTGACAAAAAAAAGCTATTGCGTATAATACTTGACATCATTTTCGGTAATATGAATTCAAGCAAAGAGATACATATATGGCAAATTTAGTGACGTTCTAGAAGGTGGTTAGTTGAGGTACTGAAAATATATAAACTTTGGGATTACGATATCGAAATTGCAGAATTGATGAAAAAATTTTGATTTATGAAAATGAAATGCTTGCGAAATAAACAGTGCTGAAACGTATTATTCAATACTAAAATCTCTTAAAAGAAATATAGGTATAATATTAACTAGAAGAGTACGAAATTAAACAATAATACCTTTGTATGAGACCGGGGCTTCCCAAAGAACTAAAAAGACCTGCTGCTAAACTTGTTAAGCTTTGCGTATTCTGCTCCGCGAGGTGTGGCTCCA